ACGGCTCAGTCCGATGAAGARGAGGAATCGGCYTTCGAAGCCCTCGCTGCTAGCTGGGCAGACCAGATGGAGCACGAGGCAGCCTCGCCCGACATCGAGGGGGGCGAGACCCAGTTTCTACTGGATCTAAACCAAGAGGAGGACGATGTTCTGCAGATGGAGCAGGAGGTTCTCAGTCTGTCCGAAGACGAGGAGGAGCAGTGCCCAGCTCACTCCACCCCCGCTGCTGAGAGGGTGGACCAGGATTTGTCCTTCTTGTCCCTGTGCCGCCGAGCTGCTGCTAAACTGGAGGTACAGTGGACCAACCCCCCACCTGCTCAAAAGCCATCGAGGTTCYCAGGGTTTTATCTCCCATCTAAACCGGCTGATGTGAAGCACCGTCTGCCTATGTTTCTGGACTTTGTGTCGGAGCTGACGTCTTCCTGGAGCAAACCTCTGTCCATCCACGCCTTCTTGCCCAGACAGGGTCAGTACTTGGACGTGGAAGGGGAAGACCAAGCAGGCCTGGCGGACATCCACAATCAGAATAAGATGATCGGATTAAGTGTTTACATGCACGCTGTTCAGATTATCAATCGGCAAAAACCACCTCTCTCATTCCAATTACAAATTCATTCGGATCGAGCTGAATCGGGTCAGAATAATCCGAATGGGGTGTTTACATGACGCAGTTTTATTCCGAATGGCTGTTTAATCCGATTACTTATATCCATGTAAATGTAGCTAGTGTTTTGTTAGGTGAAGAGTCCGCGAAGGAAAAAATTTAATATGTTAACAGTGGTGATGAAAATCAGCTGCATGCTCACGTTCAGTAGGATCAAATCAGTCGCTCTTCTAGCTCTTGTCAAAACAGGCTTCAGACAAAAACATTTACCTGCAGCACTGAGGACCTGGACTGCTGCAGTGTTCCTCATGAACAAACACACCCACGAAGTTCTAACCAATCACACGCTCCGAGCCGCATGGTCTGCATCGCATAGTTCTGATCGGGGGCAATGTAGACGACGGCTGTCACTGGGGCATAGCAACGGAAGCACAGACAGTGGTTGCACAATTTTTTGTCACTTAGCAGGGGGAACAAGTCTTGCGACTTGAAGTATAAACCAGCCTAAATTGGCAAACAAAAGCATTTGGGGCCTCTGTGTGTGAAAGAATGAGTAACCCATGGTCCCTGTTATCTATCTCCACACTATGCCTAGTACTGACCAAGGCTGCACCCATACCTGTTGGAAAAGCATCTTAATGCTTATTAAAAAGAGTTGGTGGATAATTAAGCTGAATTTATTTTCCTTCCATGTAGAAGCAATCTTGGAAAATACACAAATTACTAGCATCAGTGAGGACTCTCCTACCATGGCTAATGAACCCTGCTTGTGAACATAATCGTTTTCATATTTTATATTTTCCTATTGTTCATAACATAAGGTAATAATAATCAAGCCAGCTCAATCTTATGAAAATATTCAGTATCATTATTAGATTTTGTTAGTAAGTCATGTTAAGTTTGGAAACTTTATTGTAATATGTGCATGTGAGGGAATGATATTTAAAACCTTTTGTACTTACAAGAGAATTCGATCGCGAAGCATTATGTAATATTCTGAGATGCCCTTAAAGGAGACATATCAGGCAAAATCCAATTTTTTAGCCATTAAATGCAGTTTGTTGTGTACTTAAAGTCTCTCTGAGTGCAGAAAATTTAGTCTCTTCCAGCTCTGCATAGTTATACAGTATATTTTTCAACCTGTTCATTTTTCTATATTTTATGATGTTTTTTTATTTATTTCACAGTTTTTGCAACAGAATTGCTAAATAAGGTCTGGACTTAACTTGGTCATCTTCATTCTCCTCTGGCTCAGCATCAACATGTAAGGCTGGATTGGCAAGTCTCCTGTTGTTGACATCTTTTAATTCAATTGTAAATGTAAAGTTTCTGCGCCATGGTATTGTCGAAACCCTTCTATCAAACTAGGATGAACTGTGCTGGAAACTGGGGGGTGGGGGGCAGGGTGTGAAGCGTCTCGTTCGGCTTTGAAGAGACAGACACAAAACGGGTTGATCTGAGACACACCTCAGAAAAGGGGTGAAAGAGGGGCTTGTGGAGGTGCAGTGAGGAGGAATTCAGACCAAAGCATTGCAGCTCTTCTTGCACCCAGCTTTGTGCTCAGGGCAATTGTCAACATACTGTGTGCTTCACCTAGCAATATAGCTATACAGAAAACACAGTAATGCTACAACTTGGAGAAACACTGTAGCTTATTTGTCAAGCAAAGCAAAAAACATTTTTTTAGCTCCATGCAAGAAGCTCAGGAGCATTCCCTAAGCTTCATGCTGGAAAAAAATGTCAGGTTTGGGCCAGGCATGGAGGCAGGACGCCAATCTGCTGTAGGCTGGGAAACTCTCTGAATATCAGAAGTGACACCCCTTTATGGCCGCATCACATCGTTCTCCTGTTCCTAGTCACTCACCATTTTATAAGTGGGACTAAATATAGTATTAAAAAAAGGTGCAGCAGTTTAATTCTTTTTCTCATATGTGCTACTTTGTAATAAGAACTTTGGAGKTTATGTTCAAGACACAGGACAAAAGACTGTAATACTTTTCCAAAAACACAATTGGTTTATAGACTTAGGAGGAAGACAGCATAGAGGTGGCAAGCTGATAAGTGGCATTTGCTGTAACAGCCGATCTTTAAAATCTGTTTTCACTTGGACAACAAATAAAAAGGGTGCATAACTTGTGTGAAATGATGTGTGTTGTTTAGAGGTTGTGTGTCTGTTCATGTTGGGCTGAATATATTTCTGTAAGGGTGTGTACTCAAACTTGATTAGTCAATCTTTTTATTGGCGTTCACCTGYCAAATACTGGAGATGCTCAGTTTGGAGCTCACCTGAAGTGTTTCTATGTACAGTCATGGCCATGACATATACAATCTTTAGTCTATTAAATCCAGTTTTCTCCTCTTTTGTAATCATTACTTTTCCTTGTCTGCAGTCTGTGTAAAACAAATATACAGTAGAGTTTTTTGTGATACCATGCATGTATTTTAGCRGCATTAGGAAAGGCTATTAAAGGGGACCTATTGTGCAAAATTCACTTTTTAAAGGTTTTTTTTACTCAACTTTGGGTATGTACTTCTAAAAAAAACAGTCCTAGGACCAAAAAAATGCACCCAGGGGCATATTTACTGTAAGTAAATGTATTTTTAATGTATAATAATGACAAGTTTTATACTTGCGTCATTTTGTGATGTCACAAGCCGTACGACAACCCACCGGAACCTGCGTTCAGCCCCTTACCTAGCAACCCCCGGGTGAAGCTCCACCTCAGTATAAAAAGCCGTCATGGTTGTTGTGCAATGTGCAGCTCATTTTACAACAAGTTTCCAATGGGACAATGGGTAGAGAGTTGGACCAAAGAGTAGGAGAACAGGGTTCGAGACTGGCATAGACACAGTTTAATTATTTATTTTCATTCATTATGAACAGATTTTCTCATGTTCCTCTATTGTTTAGCTTATTAAAGCCTTGTTAAAGCCTATTTATTCGAGTTTCTGAGGTATTTTGACCGCTGCTGCTCCCTGCTCTGGTAACAGCATGCAGAGTGAGTGCAGAGCAGAGGAGGGGGAGAAAAAAAAGAAGCTGCGACCACGACTCTGCCTCTGGGTCTCTCATACGGTTGTACAACGGAGCTTCTGCTATTATTAGCCATGCTAACGTAAACGCTGACTTTGGAGGGCGGAGTTAATGTCAACAGATTTTTGGAGGGCGTTACCAACAGAGCTCATTAACATAAACAGCTCTTCTGAACTGAAGTCAGAGCAGGCAGAACTAGAAAATGAGAAATTTTATTATCTGAGAATTATTTTGTGCATTAAATTGAATGAACATGGTCTGGATAGCCCACAGACATACCATAAAAATGTCTAGGACCCATAATTGGTCTCCTTTAAGGAAACAGAGTGGAGCACTTTTGTTTTCTGCAAGCTCACTCTCGTGGCAGTCAAGCTCCACATATCTTCTGCTGAAACGGAGGAGAGGTGAGCAGCAGTGAGCATAAAGGATTAGCTTGGGGGGCGGAGGTGAGCAGAGCATGTCTACAATGTAGAGGAAAATTTTGGTGCAGCCCCAGGGACCGCGGGAGAGGTGTGAGAAGTAGGCAGGTCTTGTTGATGTAGAGTGACTAAATGTTCTCAGACAGGTCACAAAGCATGTGGACAGCCAGTTCATGTGTCTGTGTGTATGCAGTTGGCTGTGAATGTAATCGACCGTGATAATGGTCATTACATGGGACAGCTAAGGGTAGCAAAGAGAGAAGCTTTCTGTCTGTGCAGTGTGTTATGGTGAGCAAAGTCTTTTTGCAGAAGTAAAAAAACCTGCTTTTTATTCTTCCAGTGCTGTGTTTGAGCAAAAAAAAAAAAGGTGGCTTAAATATATGCAAATAGAAATGGTGAGTGTGCCATCATTTTTCTGTGCACAGAAGACCTTGTGGGTCTTATGAGTGTCATGATGCACCGCTTAAAGCTAGAAAGCTATGCAAGTAATGGCCTTGGTCGAGCAAGATAATTAGTCAAATGCTGATTCCTTCCTAACTCCCATAGGAACAGTACCATGAAGGCTAAATATCACCCACTGAAGTGGTGCTTATCCCTCTGTGTGGGCTGAAAATATGACAATATCTTATGGGCCACATGTTTGTGTGTGCTTCCCTGTGTGTATAAGTTAAAGCCCATGTTTGTGTATGAGTGCATACATACTATAATCTCTTTTTAGACTGTTTTTCAAGGAAACTGTTTAATTTTTGTTGCTGCATTGTTACATCATTAACCTACATCCCTCGATGAAGCCCAAAGCTGTAGGAGAAACATCTTTCCTGCCACTCTTTAAAATGAGTTCACTTTTTTGTCGTTATATTTAACAGCACAGCCACATGAAGCTCCGATGGTTGCGCCTTATTTTGACCTTGTGTTTCATGTCTCCGTTTGTTGTGCTTGTGTGTAGGAGCTTCAGTTTGAGCGGCTAACCAGGGAGCTGGAAGTGGAGAGGCAGATTGTGGCCAATCAGCTGGAAAGATGCAGACTTGGGGCCGAGTCACCAGGCGCTGGTAGCAGCAGGTAATGAGGAGATGCGCACACACAAACACACACACACACAAACACATTGAAGTCACAATCTCAACACATGGCTTCTTCCTCCCTCACAGCAGTGACCACGTTCCATAGTATATGAAACCTTATGGTGTCGTAGAATTGTGATGAGCTTCTCAGTATGCTCATCAGTGATTACATCCTATAGCTTAGCTTTTTCCTCACCTGTRGGTTTATTTCAAAATGAACCAAATATTCAGAAGCACTTTTGTATCATATCTAATTAAAATGTGTCTTGATGAAGAGACTTTTCAGATGAAAATTTACATTTTTAAAGCTTATTTTTGTCTTTAAGAGCATGCATGACATTGAGGTGTTGATCCTAATTTTAGCTCAGAGTCATTTTGCTCTTGGAACTTGTTACCATGTTATTAGCCAAGACTTGGGGCTGCCTGATCATCACACCTATGTGGTCATGCATTTTGTTTTGCTGCCTGTAGCTCAAACATGTTTGAACCTTCCAAAATAGCCCATTGTCACAACGGGTGACAAATTCTCAACATGTCTGTCAAATGGGGGGGGTTTCAAGGTTTGCCTGTGATGGATTGGAAATATTCTGAATGCTAACTTGTAGAGCCATTGTTTATAATAACTAAAGACAATTTTATTTCATGTTTGAAGCTTTTTTATTATTATTTTGCATTTAATTAGCTGACAGTATGTAGCCTGAAAAGCTACAGCTGTTTACAAGCTAAAAAGTTTTCATTTTTATTTAGTATTGTTTTGTAAATTATGTTTTGTTTGAATATATTCTGGGGTTAAAAGGGGCAGACATAATAAGATTTATTCTTCTTCTGCTACCTTTCATTTAACTTAGATTTTTTTTTTATTTGTGTATTTTCTTTGTTTTTTATTGTATATAGTTATTTTTGATTAAATTAATACATTTTTTAAATTGAATTAATTGAAAAGCAAAGATGATTTTTCAAACTCTTATTTTATGTTAGTACAGTGAGCTGTGCATTGTTTTTTTTTTTCCAGACATTCAGTATGAACGTCTCATTGTTTACAGACATTATATAAAACTAATTGTTAGGCACCAGAAAAAATGCTAGATGTTTCGGTTTTCAACAATGTCTTGAATCATATTAAATAAATTCAGCTGTCTACCAAGGCCATGTAARGACTTGGATCTTGCTTTAATTTTTTTTCCTCTAAACATGAGTCAGAGTGTATTTGGGCTTATAGCACCTCTAATGGTACTTATTTCTCAGTCGTCCTTTGATACAAGTTCAAGACATTTTTAGTTTTATATTTAAGGTTAACAGTTATTAAGATAGATGATTAAAGCCTACCCAGGTAACCTGTTTTAATTATGTATTACTATAAAATGATAAGGATGTAAAGATTTATCACAAGGCTTACAAAGCGCACTTTGGTATGCTTTTTAATGGCGTGTTTGAGCTGCACTTATTCTCAAAAGTCTGCAGTATAATTGGGCTATATCTGGACCCACAAGTTCAGTTGGAGTTGTAAAGACTTGATTTGATATTTTCTGGCTTTATGATAATAACCCTCATGCCCTTAGAGTCAGTTCTCAGTCTTGCACTTCAAGCTGCACACCTGTAGCTTGCTCTACACAGMAGTAAGTGTCCATTTCCCCCCTTAGTGTACCCTCTTTTAGAGGAAAGGAAGTATGCAGCAGCTTCGAGTGCTCCCACATAGCTGTGTATTCAAACTCTCCAGAAACACCTGCTTGGCTTTTGATTTTTCTCTTCAAGGAATTCTGTTTTCAGGCTTCGTATTTAGTGTACCCCATCTGCGGCAGCGATATGTTTCATGGGATCGTATGTTTTTTCAGTGTTTTCAGACATTTAAAACTTTGTACTACAGCACCCTAATAAACAGGCTTGGTGCTGCTTGCTGCACAATTAAAGTTTTTTTATACTTTGGTAAGAGCTAAAAAGTTTTTAATCAACTTCGCAGAGTTTCTTTTTATTTGGCTTCCCCCAAGAGCTTATTTGGTGTTCTTTCTTGTGTGATGTTATAAATGAAGTATATACAACAGCTCATTACACATAGATGTGTACGCTGACACTTTGCCCACCCAGACAGGAAGACCATCGACGGCATCCTACATTAACACCATTTACGTGGCTATCAACCGGAGAAAGACAAATGAAACGGTTGCCACAGGGTGTTTGTGTTCGACTTGAGATCAGCTTTAACACAGAAGTCATGCTGACTGGCTCAAAAGCACAGCAAGACAATTGCAGAGGTGACGGGACACTTAAGGGTTCTGATGAGAGTCATTACACTTCATGACACCTCAGAGGATGGCCACTTTTTATTTCTGCAAGCACAAAGGGAATGGCTCTCAAAAGTGTCCTTTGGCAATRCTCAGAGTTCTGACCTCCTGCATGGTCAGACGTTCACCAGTGAAAGTGCGGTCTAGGAAATGAAGCGTACTCCCAGGGTATGGCTTGTTGTACATCATCTCTTAGTTTTGCTGAAACTAATGATGCCTTTTCCAGTTTGTAGTCAACATGCAGTGTGCAGGCTTATCACCGCTGTCGTCATGGTAGCTGATACGCTATGGTCCAGTGGCTCACAACTCTCCTTGTATTGTCTTTTTAATTGACTGTGTGCTCATTACAGTGCTGAGACTTGGTCTTCTTAAGACCTCATCTAGTGTCACCTTGGATGAAAGAAAGATGGCTGTAGTAGCAACACTAAACGGTTCATATTAATGACACACAAGGAAAAGATATCGAAACAAAACTAGTTGTTAGACCAGTCTGAGGTCACCTTCCTTACCTCTGTCTGTTATAATGACTGACAAAAATAAAAAAATAAAAACAGAACCTGGCTTTACTTTAATCAGGAAGTATTTTTCTAGATTTTTTAGTGTTTAAGATGTCGACATGTATTATTAAAGCTTTGCTGTACTGTTTTACTTCCTCTTAAACAGAAATGTTTTGAGTTCATATTCTTTTATTAAAAATGTTTTTTAGTAACATTTGTTTTTTAAGTGTCATTCTTTTGTGTTTGACAGAAATCTTATAAAAATCTAAGGCAACAAAGACTAACTCATGTAAAACAAAGTATATCATTACTCTGTACATAAAAGATTTTAGTAGTACTGGATCTGTTCAGTTTGATTTACACATCGTGACAGGGTTAAATAAGGATGTCAGTATGTTCAGCTTTAAAACTGTGTTAATTTTATAACTTTCTATGATTTTACCTCACTTTTTTCTATATTTATTTTCAGCTCTTATTAGGTTGTTTTTAAGACACTGTTTTTACTTAGCCATGCTAATAGACTGAATGTGTAAAAACTGCTTTTAGACCAGTGTTGATAACCTTWTTTCTTTCAAACAAAACTGTTGTAGTCTTCAAACACAAAAAAGACTTTTACATTTTAACTTTGTTTTTTGTTCCAAAACTGCAGTCACCATTTCAAATAAGATGGTAAAACCATAATAAAGGAGTAGATGCCATAAAGTAATTGTGTTTTTTCTGTTTCTTACTTTTTTTTTCTCTGATATTTTTTCACTTTTTTAATATTTTCTCCCCCCATCCCCCTACAGCTCATCTGAGAAATCTCTACCATGGAGAACAGCAGGTATGTTATTTCACACTGCTACTGTTTTTATTAGAAAATCCTTTTTTTTCTCCCCCATTTTTTTAGATTTAAATCTGTTCAGATTTTGTATGCTGTCCTTTAGACTCATACAACAGCCCATCCTCTGTTAAATTAAAAATAGAACAGTAATTTAGAAACACTATAACCACTGACCTTTAGTTATTGGTCAGTAAGTGCTAATTTGTAGCATGACACATTTGCTAGTAGTCCTCCACCTTGTTAGGTCCATTCTAAATGATAATGAAGTAGACACTGGACGTTGTTGTAAATATCACTGGCATAAAATATTGAAACTGTTAGATAAAACCTGCTTCGCTAAGTGATGCACTTCTTACCGAAGATAGTGGAGGAAAGTGTGTTTCTGTGCATGCCGAGTGCATTCATGACATGTTTTACATTTCCTCGATAATGTTTATCGATGAGACCCTCTTCAGTAAAGCAGTTGACAGCCCCAGGCATGTTCCTGTGTAAGTTATTTAATGGCATCGGTGACAGGTGGCAGAAGCATGTTTTTTTTTCTCAGATTTTTTTCATAGTTTGTTTTAGCCTTCATTCTTATCAGATTTTTTTTTTTTTTTGGGAGGGGGTGGGATACAACATAAATAATATTTGCTAACATCTTTAATGGCTTATTAATTGCACAATGAAAAGCAGAATTTTTGCAGTGGTCATTAATCTTTTATTGTCGATTCTGTCAGGAGGGCCCYTGGGGGGGTTATAGCAGAACATATGCACTGGGAATATTAATACCACTTGCTTTTCTCATTAACTGTCTGCTCCTCATTTCCTTTCTGAATGCATTTCATTAGTGTTATAACTGAGCAGGAGACTAATCACAATCACGGGTTTGTTTTGTGTTGATTGATAACAGTGCTGCAGATAATAAATGACAGTCAGACGCGGTAATGTGGTTTTTATGCTTTAAGTGAATAAAACTCTAAATGTGAGCACGGCGTGTTTTTGTGACTGCAGAAACATGAATTTTTTTGCCTCAGGAAATGTCAGTGCAGTCACACCTAATGTCCAATAAGAGTAGAGGAGAAACACCACAGAGTCGAGCATTTTATGGCTTTCTGTCACCGCTGTGGTCTTCATGCTGACACTTTATCTCCCAAGTGTCACAGTCACAAGGATCCCTTTAGGGTGTTTTAAAACAAACAGCTTAAAGAGTCTAAACTATTTGAAAAGTAATGAACATTGTCTTCAAAACTATAAAAGAAGAAAACAACAGTTTTTCCTGCTGCTTATTATGTAAAAAGCACATTAAAAACTGRAGTGGCAGATATCAGTAGCTGTTATCAAATCTGCACTCTGCCCACACCAGGTCTGTATGTCCATCAGACACAGAATTAGAAGCCTATAGTCACTTAAGTACTCATAAATATGTATGTCTAKTCTCACAACGGCCAACATTAGGGCCAGAATCCACATTTATTACTGGAAAAAGCAAGCTTGACCAGCATGAAAGTGCCTTTTTACAGAGACTTGCTGAAAAACCACAGTTTGACTTTAAATGTGTCAGCCGGTAGTGTTTATGCAGCTCCACATCCCCAGTGCACAGACTCCGATACCAAAAATACACAACTTGATTTGTTTTCTGATAATTTAACACAATGGAAGCTTTTATGAAGAGAACAGAACTGAACCTAAAGCATTTATTAACTTCAGAACATGGTGGGAACACATTATTGGTGTGTACAAATTGAAGTCAGACAGACGTGACTTGAACCAAGCGAAGGCAGTTTTCTTCATCCCGATGATGAATTTATGTCTGTGTATAAGTATTGTGTGGTCAGTAGTGTCCAATGCAGCATGGAGATCCAACAGGACATGGCAGTGCCCCAAAAACAAACATTTTGGCTCAATTTTGGACAATGAAAATTAACAAAACCTCTTTGTCCATCTTTACTTATATTGATGATGTCACCACAACAACCCAGCAAGCACAAGCATTTTTTTCTTTTTCTTTCTTTAACCACTGTTCGTTCTGCAGAGCAGCAACTTGACTAAACACGAAAATACAAATGTTCTCAGAGATTTAAAAGTTTTAATCGGATGACTTTGCATTTCAGAAGTAAATTGTTTTACTGTGAACTTATAATAAAGAAAGCCTTTTTACCCTTTTTGTAACTAGTAAAATATAAAGTAAAGGTGATCGTTTTTGTTCTTTTTTTTTTTTCAAAATAAAAGCTTCATCCCATATGACTCTAAACACAAGTAGATTTTACAAACTAAATCTGAACATATTTGCATTTTTAAAACAAATCCAAATTTACTGAAACAAATAGAAATATCAGGCAGTCTATGCAGCTCTAGTTTGAAATGTAATGATAACCATGCAATTGTTACACAACGTAATGTTAAGGATTACCCAACAACCCTTTGCCAAAAGGAGACAATCCTTTTTGTGTGTGTGTGGTTTCAGTCTCCCTCTGTGCTTGCCGTCTGTCTCTATTTTCATTTCCTGTCGGCTCTGGGACTTTGGTTCCTGCTTTAATAAATAGGGTCAAGGCACAGTATGAAAATATGCCATCACAAACTGTTATAAGTCTTTTCCATCACTTACATTTAACAGTCGAAAACCCTGCAAACCATTTTGTTGTAACACTTTGCCACGCTACTCCTTACCACCTCTGGCTCTGGCTCCATGTTGTACCTTACCTACAAAGTACATTATTCAATTATTTTTTACCCCCTTTTTTTTCTCAGCTGCAACAAAAAACGTGTATTTTGTCCAAATTGTTTAGGAAGTGTTGCACTATCGGACATACTGTGTGTTGGTGATGGAGATAGAAAACCCAAACAGACTAAAACCTCATAGGATTGTTTTACTCAGAGAAATGTTTTCAATTAACAACACTGTCAGAAATGACAGATTTGTCGAAAAGTAAAATAATTGATATAGAGTAAACTTAAGGAAGTTGCTACACCTGGCTTTATTTTCTGTCAGCAGGAAATACCCAATACGTGCTTTGACAATTTGACTGAACACGCTTCTAAATCTGTCTCGAGTCGATCCAGTCTGTAAACACACAGGCACCCTTAGATGTCCAGATGTGGAAATGCAAAATGTCAGYTTGTCCGACAGACTGCGGCCGTCTGTCAGCAGCTTTATTCAACGGGTCAGCTTTGTTAACACTGAATGCTTCGTCATAGGATTCAGCTCCCATTCACACACAGCTAAGCATGCTGGATTTACCAGAACCAGACTGGCCTCCTTGTCCTCCTCTGCCTTTTGTTCCGGTGATTGCAGAGAAACCTATTGACTTTTGTCACACTTAACTAGATTGTGACTGTGGGGAAACACTGCACAGAAACAGGAGATGGCTACTTCCAGTTTCTGTTGGCTACATTAGTTGTTTTCATGGACAAAAGGAGTGGAGAGTACTAAAGTATATCCCAAATTAGTAAAGCTGTAAAAATTAATGATACCAGCTGCATACAGCTGTAAAATTAATGTAGCAGAAATGATTGTTTGTTTTGTTTTTCCTCAGTCCCCCACCCCAAAAAAACAAAAAAATGTTCACGGCTTGAATGACCACAATAAATCCTCAAGCCTTTTCTTATTTATTATTTTTTTTCTTGCTTTCTTCTTAAACGTTCTTTGTCTCTATTTGACTTTCCGGTCTCCTGTGTCTGCACTGATACCTCTGCCTCAGGGGACACCAAGTCTCGAGTGACTGACAGCTCCCAGTCGCCCAGCTATCGCATCAGGACTGGGTCAGAGCAGGTGTCTCTGTACTCCCCGGAGCAGTCTTCCCTTCATGAAAGTGAGGGTCTGTTATTACCTTCAGTCTTATCTTCTGCAGCTCCCTTCTGTAACCCGACATATTCTTTTTATTTTTTATTTACTTTTTGCCTCGGTATTACTGTGCTCCACTGACAGAAATGTTCAGCTAGTAACTACATCTTATCTTCCTTTTTGATAACCTAAACAGACTATTTTATTTTTGGTCTTTTTTCAATAACTGGAAATTTAGTGTATAATTACTTTCAAATTATTTTAAGCAAAACTATTGTGCTTTTATTAAGAGATGCACCTATTCTCTCTTCTTCTTTTTTTGGCTAATGCTGATTTTCGATTTTGGAATAGCTCTGACCTGTCAATTTGCTTTTTCCTACATTAATTCACTTTCAATGAACTAACCCGTACAAAGTTATATCCATTCAAGATTATCTTGAAAGAAACCAGCACTGACAACATGCACTGTTGCCAACTCCTCATTAAGAAAATAAGCTATTTGCTGTTTTAAACATTTCTAGATGACGTTATATAACTTGCATTTTTGATCATTTCAATTGGCTGTAMGAGATTAAAAAAAGAAATTACTGTAAACTATTTTATTTTATGCTATTACTATTTACCAGTCTTTGTACATATGTTTTTAACTTGACTATGTTACAYATATAAATGGYCCATAAAGAGACAACAGAGTAAAAACTGTTGTTGACATGTGAAAGTTCAGTTTGTGTCCTCTGCTTSGCCTTTGCCTCCCTCCTGCTTGAGCCTCGCTGCACAGGTGGGAAAGMGGGGTTCACCTGCCTCTAAATGATTACTGGTTTCACATGCAGCTTATAAAAGTCTCCAAACACATCAGAAAAAGTACCTATATTTGACCCCAGTCAGATAAAAAAGGTGATAGAAGGGTCTGAAAACTGTCTGAATCTAGCAAGAAAGTCATTTGACAGTACAGATCCAGACACAGACCTGCATCCTGCAAAAGGTGCACTTTAGGACCACTGAAAATGTCTGCTTTCTCAGAACTGACCATTAAAAAATGGAGGGAAAAAAAAGCCAAATGGTTTCAGGCCAATCGCTCGATGCATCCCTACTTTTATTGCATTTTACCTTTTCAAAATATGTACATTTAAAATGGTTGTGCAGTGAATCCCAAATTTTTGTGGTGGTCACGTTTTTATAGTCAATTTATAATTTTATAGTCAATCATGAAAAKGCACAAATATTGGATGCGATCTAGAAAAGGTCTACTGTATGTTTGGGGTGGCATCGTAATGCAGTAAGAACCAAACAAAAACACGAGAGCTACACAGTTAGCTGCTGCAGAAGCATGGGCACAGGGCATTTGTGACATACTGAACTGCATTGTTGTTGTTGTTTTTTATGGAACTGTATTTACATTATTTATGTTGCAAATTATTAAAGTATACAGTATTGTTCTTAATAATTTATCTTGAAAACTCAGAAAAAGAACGAGACAAAAAAAATAATTTCCTTAAAGTACTGTATTAACAGTTTCCGCAATGTCAAGGGGATTATCGCAAAATACTRGGTTCCATGAAAAAATCTGCAGACTGAGCACATCTCAGCTGCTTCATCGCACCTATAAATTAGCGTTTTCACACATGCATTGCAGTAATTAAATTTTTCAAAGATGGTCTAATGGAGCAGCGTATGGAAATACAAAGCTCTGTCATGTTTATTTATTTTTTTCTTTTGGGGATTTTCTTTCAAAGAAAGATATTTCTTAACATTGCTCAGTGAGACAATTTACGAATTAAGCAAAAGTCTGGCAGAGCAGTTTCAACAAACGTAAGCATGTTGGTGTTATGATACCGCATCGAACTCTTCATGGCTCCTTGTTTGATCCTTTCCATTTGTGGTAAAAACAAATGGAAAACTTGTGATATACCACAGAACAGTCATCAGAAAGCCTCGTATGCAGTCTCCTGTGCTTTCAATATTAATTTCTTACGTAAATGTTTTCAATCTAACTGCCCCTTCCTTGCATTTACAGACCAAAATTTCCTCACAGAAGCTGTCTGAAAAGCAAGTGAGGAAAAAATAATAGATTAAGCAAATATTCATCGTTCATYTATGCAAATAACATATCTGTTTTAAAGAAGCTATTTGTAACAGTTGATCTTTTKTAGAAGATTAAGGAAAGCTGGATGATTGTACACTGAATCACAGGGTGGTAGAACTGTTGTTCCCCTGCTGTGTCGTTTTTCATTAGAAAAGCTATTTAGGTAAAGGTCACATCTGTTATGAAACCTCTTATGATATCTGTCTCCCCCGTGCCCCTAACCCCTTCCCTTTTTACAGGGAGTTCGCGTTAGACTCATGTCGGTTTCTCTTTCTCTTTTTCCTCTCAGGGTCTGCAGGGAACTCGTGTGGCTCAGCTCAGATGAACTCTTACTCCGACAGTGGCTATCAGGATGCCAGCAGCGGCTACCTCAGTGGTCAGAACCATGCCAAGGCAGAACTGAAGGTGCAGCACTCCTTCCCCGGAGCCGGCACCGGCACTTTGGGGCGGAATGCCAGGGCAGAGGGGCAGGCTTCAGCCCAGGTACCGACAACGTCTGTCCTCATTATACATTACTTTTCTTGTCTTAATGTTTAGAGCTTTTTGAAATTGAGCCTGTGCTAAATCCCTAATGTGAAAACAAAATGTAAAGGCTTAAAAGCACAGAAGATGCGTAGTGATTTCAACWTAATCATGCTGCATGCAGGGGTTAGACAATGAAACTGAAACACCTGTCATCTTAGTGTGGGAGGTTTAATGGCTAAGTTGGACCAGCCTGGTGGTCAATCTTCATTAATTGCACATTGCACCAGTAAGAGCAGAGTGTGAAGGTTCAATTAGCAGGGTAAGATCAATGTTTTACTCAAAATATTCCAATGCACACAACATTAGGGCTGACATACCAGAGTTCAAAAGAGGACAAATTGTTGMTGCACGTCTTGCTGGTGCATCTGTGACCAAAACAAGTCTTTGTGATGTATCAAGAGCCACAATATCCAGGGTAATGTCAGCATACCACCAAGAAGGACCAACCACATCCTGGACCCAAGAGGAAGCTGTCTTGCCTTTTTAAAAATGTAAGGAGTAAAAAGTACAGATAATTGTGTGAAAATGTAAGAAGTAGAAGTAAAAAGTAGGCTGAAAAATAATTGCTCAAGTAAAGTACAGATACCCAAAAATTCTACTTAAGTACAGTAACAAAGTATTTGTACTTAGTTACTTTACAACCCTGCACTTTAGAGGTGGGGTGGAAAGATAATGTAAACGTGACCCTGAGTAAAGCCCTGTGATGAAGCTGTTTATATAATGCACTCTTGTTTAGACGTGTCATTCTTATTTTATGGCTCAGTTTATGTCAGAGTGTAGCTTAAAGAAACAAATGGTCAATGTTTTTTTTTTAACCCATGTGTTTTTTATTACCTGCAGCTTCCAGCAGTCACCACAGCCCAGCCTGGTCGTGCTATGCGAAGGGTTTGTTCAGTGCCTTCTCGCTCTCACTCGCCAGCCTATGCCACCAGTGTTTCCCCCTCCCGCGGCTCGCTGCGCACCTCTGTCGGCAGCGCCTATGGCTCCCCCATCGTTACTGAACCCAAACCTTATTCCAGCATCTTCTCCACAACCCTGCCCTCCGTGCAGCGTGCCGGCAGCATCGGCGGTGGTAGCTCGCCCTACGCTACCCAGAAGAACTCCCCCCTAGGAATGCGCCGGGTGAACTCCACAAACTCGCGATCCGGTGGCCGCGCCGCCTCGTCCTACCCGACCTCCGCCGGGTCATCGTCAGGCGGCATGGGCTCGCCTCTGACAATGGTGGACAATATCAACCCTCCACTGACAAAGCAGCCCGGTCACTCTTCATCTCCTGTCAGAGCTAGCATGACTGCTGTGCCCCAGCATTACAGCTCCACCCTGCCTCGCTCCATGCTCCACAGCACCGACCCCTACGGACCTCAGAGTTACGACATTTATGAGAGGATGACGCGACCCGACAGCCTGGCAGGTACTCCACTCAATACACATGTGCTGCTAAGTTTTAGTTCAAAATTGAAGATGGGTWTCTAGGTTTAGTTACTTTACACACTGAATAGAAGCTGTGCAAGCTTGTGTGCTTTATTGCGTGTAATTTATTCCTAAGAATAGAAATTCAGGAAGATAATTATTGAAGGACATGCCTGCCCTGACTGGTTTGTCATCCTTTAATCCGGAAATGAAAGTTGGCAAATTTGTATCGTGTATAAATCTGGAGCCATAAAAGGAAAATACCTGCCTGTGTCAATTTTCTGCTTTCACATTTTAATGCATTTTATGTTGAAAGATTTCCTTGAACAACTACTCATAGCCATATTTGGTACATACTGTATATTATTCTTAAAATTCAGACTTTGTTTACATTTCAGTCATGTGCAAGGGATGTTTCTTCTGTACGATGACAAATCTATTGCCTAATTGTTCTGCATGCAGAGAATTATTAGCTTTATTCATACAATGAACATGAGATGTTCAGGAGAATGTGTAGACAGTTTGATCTTTGGAGCGCCAAGAGGGCAGGACCTGGAGCAAAGAGCARGGTGTGGAAATTGATGTTTTCTTTACAGCCTGCTGACTGAAAGGTTCACGGTGACAGTTTTATGTTGATGTCAACAACAGATGTGTCTGAACGTATCCATTGTAGTGAGGAGCGAGCAGAAAGCTTATTGTAAGTCAAAATTATCTGCACACTCACGATAAAGTTCTGAAGTAAATTGATTTAGCAAAGCAACAAACCTCACATATTGAGATTCCTAAATTCATTAGTGCAATTTCATTTTGGGTACTGATATTACCTAAACGTTATCTAAAAATATTTGGGTATTTTGACAGATTTGCAAAAATCAATACTAAATTGGACATTATTTGCCTGCTGTAACCTTTGAAGCTAATTACCTGAGCGGGAGCAGCAGAGCCAATGCTAAACTGTCGAGCCTCATCTTGTGTTACCTGATGTAGTGCACGCCTTTGGTTGGGAGCTGTTTTTGTCTTCTTGGTTTATGACCATGCCTGCAGCTTGTCGTAGTGCAGCCTGCAGGTTAAAGTTTTGCCTGGGMTCGAGGTGCGGTTTATGCAAGTTCCCCAAAATGGGTTTGGAAACTTGATGACTGCTCAACCAGGTTTTAGTCTGACATTTTTATTGGGACACTCTAACAAAGACTCAAACACACAACACACGTAGAAAGACATCTTTGTCAAATAGAAATAAAAACTTCTATATAAACACTCGTGAAATCGTGGTTCAAACTTGGAAACACGTTTTTCCAAAAGGTAAATCAGACTCTGCTCATCAAATCTCTGATTGTTAGAAGGTTTATTCACTTATTTTTCTTCTCAACCTCATGCTTCCGGGGATTTCCTCAGATGCCCTCATTGACGGAGACATCAAAGGTGAAATTTTAGTTATTTGTTTCTGATCGTTGCGTGTCTTTCATACTGTACTGCAGGGGTGCCCAAACATTTTACTGGAGAAGGCCAAAATGAAAATCTGTCGAAGGGCTGTGGGCCCAATGCAATAATACATGAACTATTTCTTAAGTAAAGTCATTTTATTTTTTATGATTAAGCCAGCAGCCAGTGATGTGGCCCACTTTTATTTATTTATTTATGTTTTTTTAGCCCCTACACTTGAAGAAAGTTTGACGGACGCTCAGGCAGCAAAGGCTCATGGGACATTTTGTGGTCTTATAAAGTGTGCTAATCTACATGTATTTTTAAAWCTAATCTAAATGTGTCTTATAGTTACTTGTAGTTCATGTTTAATCTTAATATAATTGAAAGCTAAAATAAGCTCCATGAGTGAAAACTATCTGCACAACAACCTGTTATAGAGTCACTGGGCCAACGGATGGAAGTATGTTTCTATACATGATGACAGGAGATTACAGTCTAGTAATTAGGGTAACTGCTGGTGGGTCAGGCTTGTTGGGCCAGTTTTGGCTCCACTTTGTGCACCTCTGCTGTACTGTACATAATATTGTTATTTTGTTTTTTTTTACTGGGTTTTTGTTTAGACCTAGTTTCAAAGTGCCATATTGACACAATTTCAATCATTTCAATTTCTTGCGAAATGTCTTCACTTTTTTATTTTTTCTGTTTAAGTTAGGCAGGAGTTTGCATGTTGGGTTAAAAATTAACCCTAAATTGACTTAGAGGTGAATGTGTGTGATTTGTGGTTTGTCTTTATGTGGTTCTGTGATGGTGACGTGTCTGGGGATAAGCACCAGTTTCTCATGACTTCAAACAGAGGCAGATATAGAAATGAATGCATTGACGGCCTTTTTCATACATTTTTTTWAATCTGAAAATTATTTTGAGAAAGTTTTAAATTGTCCTCCAGACAAACCTAATTTTCCCGCAGAGGTGTTCCCTCTCGTCCTGTCTTCTTACTTCCAAACATTATCTTTATCTTTTTGCCACCCTCAATTTTTGTCTTACTCCAGCTCTTTTTATTTGTTCGTCTAGTCTCCTTTTGTATTTTTCCACAGACACACCAGCTGCACTTTGCCTTTATCACAGTAATTTGTCACCAGTGTCTGATGAGACATACGAATAGGAAATGGGTTGATCACGTGATCAGACTTGAGCAGGTAMTAGAAAATGTCACCAAACAGCTAAACTCAACATGTCCACTGGAACCTGTTTTTCTCCTCTCTCTTTTATGATCTCCCTATTTTACACACATTTCACGATTCCCTTGGTTATTTATTACCACAGGATTTGTATCCCTTTTTTTTGTGCTTCATTTTCTACCGCTCAGTGTCCTCTCTCCTTTTTTTTTTTTCCTTTCCACCCACCTGGCTCCATTGCCTGCACTTTCATTGGCATGATGTCATAGCCTCCCTTCGCTGCCGAAAAATGGGAAACGAAGACAAATTGTCCCTAATAATGTACTCATTACATTCTGTCCATATGAGAGCAGAGCAGGGCAAAGAGAGGAAATGGCATATGTGCCCATGTGCTCAATTATTCTGAGATCGCAGCTACCTTAGAAGTTGTAGCTGTGCCGCAGTTTCTTTTCACTGCTATTCTCAATCTTATGTGCATTGAGTTTCTGGTAAGTCATTCTTTTTTTTTTTTTTTGTGTAGATGTTTTTGGCCGGTCTGAGAAGATTCTTGAATATTGTTTTTGTTGAGGAATGCACCCAGCTGTATCTGTTACTCCAGAGCAAGCACGCGCCAAGCCACCACCGCCTTTCATCTAGCCTCTGCCAAGTGTAATCTGTTAAAGCCACGGTGAGAGGACTGAGGGGGAGAGTTAAATGACTGTAACGCAGAAGGAATGTGGGCCATTCATCCTCAACAGACAGCAGAATGTTATTTCTCCTTGACAATTTGCAGATGCTTATAGAAGTGACTGCTGTGCTTCTATCAAGGGAGCAGAGTAAATATAAGGCATTCTCCTCATTGGCTATTTAAATGTGGCTACTTTTAGGAGTCGGGCTMCTGAAAGGGAGAAATAAATGCATGAAGGTTCCTATATTGGAAAGATTTTGTTCTGCTGTTCATTCACAGCTGTCTTCAGATTCTTGGGTCTGTAAAGACAAGTGGACAGCTCGTGTCATCGAAATGTGTCTCCTGAGTGACTACTTTGTGATTGGGTCACAGCTACCAGCTCTACATTCAAATAAACAGTAACTTATGTCAATCAACAGTCAACTGATAGACGATCTGCTGATGTTCCTGTAAAATTAGGTCAAAAAGGGTTTTTTTTTTCAGGCAGTCAAGTTCAGAACCACTTTGAAAAGTTAATTTCATCTGATATTCTGCTTTTACTTTGGGTTAAATTCGGCTTGTAGACCTGTATAATGCAGCTTTTTCCTCCTTCTTTTCCTGAAAACACTAAAATAAGAAACTATCGTGATGGTAACAAAGACGAAATTCACAATTCATTGTTTTCATCAATCATCAGCTCATTTTCGAGGCTATGACCTGTTTGCACTGAGTTTATATTAGGCTAGCTGTTATAGTCATGCAATTAACACATAAGGTAATAGATGTCAATGAAAATGACTAAATAAAAAATTCAGCGTCACACAAAAACAAATATTGTCAGATAATTAGTACATGTTATCCACATTTATTTAGATTTTTACTCATTTCAAGGAATGCCATTAAAGCCCTCCATGTCTTGGTTTAAATGTCACAGTTGTAATAAATCCACAAAATTTGTTTTATTTAAATTCTATCTTTGTTTTAAGCTCTGATGTGAGTTAAATGAGTCTTCTATTAGTCTCAAACAGTACCGAATTGGGACTGAAACAACTGTTAAAATAATTATTAACAAGAAACAGCTGTTATAATGAATATTAACAAGAAAAAATATAGTCAAGTGATCTTTAATGCATTTGTTAATCAGACAGAAATGTCTTAGTTTCTGAAGGAGTGTCAGACTCAGAGTCAGACTGATGTGTTACCTTCATTTCAAATCTTTACTCTCCTTCTCTCCAGAGTTTCTCTCTTTCCTATTCTCAAAGAAGGCCAACACACTCGTTTGTTCATTTTTACCTTTTAAATCATGACAGGACTCCCTCGTTTAGCTGGTTCTGCTTGGTAGACCTGGTGTTTATTTACAGTCTGCACCGGAGCTCGTGCCGTTAGAGAGGACCCAAGTGACGTTTGTGGGCTCTCGATATGTGCAATAAGCAGCAAGTTGCCATATGTACAGTGGTCCATGGAGGTTCACAGCTCTGTAAGCTTCACGGATGTGAGGTTTAATACAAACAAACAGGAGTTTTGATCACTTTAATTTCATTTCTTTGGACTAAAATGGTTTTGTGTCACTCTCTTTTCTGCATTTTAAGGCACCCATTTTCTTCAGCTTGAAAAAACAGCCTAAAGACCTAAAACATTTACACCTTCTTCATAATTTAGTAGTAGAAACATGCAGTTTTGTGCCTCTTAAGAATAGGTTTATTTTGCTTCAGCAACATTTTCAGCTTTTAGGCTAATGTAACCAAGAAAGGAATGGCTCAGGTATTTTATTTTAACTATCGTTGTCCCTGGATAATTTTGGTAAACCATCTTTTCTTGAAATTTATTTTTGGATTTCTACAAATGCATTTTTTTTACATTCCTTCTGTCCTTACATTCTTTCTAGCATATTGGCTGAAAATCAAGGCAGTGGGAAAAGTCAAATACAATAGAACATTTATGATGCAAACCAAAGATCTCATATTTTTTGTTTTCCTGTGTATCCGTACCAAGATGAATCATTTGGGGTCCTTCCTCACCATTGACAGAGAAGGTCCAAACCTGTACCACTTCACACCCTTTATTTCCACTAAACCACATTTGTGACAAACCTTTCTACACTGTTAACCATTCTCCTGTATCTACAGGAATACGGAGCTCATATGCCAGTCAGCACAGCCAGCTCGGACAGGAAATTAGGTCCACCATCTCCCCAGACCGCCACATTGCACCCATTTATGAAGATCGGACATTTCAAGGTCCGTTGTACCGCAGCCCCAGCCACACCCAGCAGGGGACCCTCTACAGGAGTCCTTCAGGTTGGTTCCACATGATTCTTACAATAAATCTCCCAAAGGCCTTTATAGGAGTATAAAGGCCTTTAGTAAAGTATAAAGGAGTATAATAGGAGTTTGTAAACTGTTAAACAGGAAGTTGGACCAGCTAAACAGGATGGGCATGGTCAAAGTTATTGATCAGCAACTGGATATTTTATGAAAAAAATGAAAGTATTTCAGCAAAGAAGGTCTAAAACACTAAAACGTAGAAGGTATCTTTGTCCTTAAGCAGTTCATACAAATTTGACTGCTTTTACATTTGCAAAACTTGCGTTCCGTAAAAACAATTTCTACCCAATATATATATATAT